TAGACAGGAGCAGAGTCGACGCATCTGTCAACAGTGTCAAGCCAAGTTAGTCTATCTCCTCCAGCTTGGAGAGCGCATAAATACATGTATGTAAAGAAGAATTTGTGATAGTGTTAGTGACTTCGCCGATAATTTTATAAGAAAGATGTTCGCTCCCCACGCCAAAGCTCGCACTTTTCAAGTGTCAAGTCAAGTCGGCAGAAAAGCGCGAGCTCCGGTGTGGTAAACAAACAACCATTCTTTTAAAAGAATTCATAAAATTATTGTTTCCTCGATGGTCTTCAGTGGATTTACGTCGAATAGTGATTGAGGGATCAAACCAATATCATAATAATTATTATGACTGTGTTCAAACTGTGCAAAACAATCTGCAACATGTTGAAATTTCACGTTTTGTAACTTTCAATCAGGGCAATGAGCACAGTTTGAACATTATAATATTATTTTTGATCTCTCAATCAGTATTCGATGTAAATTCACTGACGACCATTGAGGAAAAACGTTTATCAATTTTTCTTTCTTCCCTTTTCCATTCTCTCAATGTACGAATATATATTCTATACGAAGAAAAAACCACCAAGGAACTACAGGTTACACTATAGTGTCAACTATCGCCACCAGTTACTTTACGATCAGCTCATGCGATTCTACAACTAACTGCCAATCAGATTTAGCACGTCTTGGATGCGCACTCCAACGGCCTTCCAGCTTGGAAGGTTCTAGGTTATAGATATAACAGAGGAGGGGAAGGTGAGCGCAACCAAGACCAGCACGAGCTGAAAGTCTCAGCCGTGTGAAGGACGTTGGCGGATCTACATGTGTGTCGAAGGCAATACTGGGAAGACCATCAGACAAAACGGTTAAACCACAATTCAAGGACGCATAGCATCATACCACACAACTTGTGCGGCTCTAAAGATTCTATGATTCTCAGATTGTGAAGTAACTGGTGGTGCTAGTGGACATTATAGTGTAGCCTGTAGTTCCTTGGTCTTTTCTTTCTTCTTATAAATTAATCCTTGGCTCTCCATCCGAGTCTAGAAATTCTTCTTCACAGTTTTTTCATTAGTTCCTCATGGTATTATGTTGGCATCAATCGTTTTATTCATAAATTTCTTGAAACTTCTTTCTCCAAAACGGCTTTTGGCTCCATTCTCCCGGTAGCACTTTTGAAGTAGTTTTTAATTGAGCACAGTACATCCTCTAATTTTTTCTGTATCTTGCTTCATTTGTGGTCTTGTTGTTTTTTGGAACTACTATTGATACTGCTGCTGTGGTTGTCGATGGTGGTTGTCGATGGGGGTTGTCGATGGGGGTTGTCGATGGTGGTTGTCGCTTGTGCTGCTGTTGCTGCTTCCACTGTCACTGTTACTTCCGATACCACCGTTACTTCTTTTTGTCTTGCATGCATTGTGTATTGTTGGATTCTTTGGGGTATTCGACTAACATACTTCAAAGGTATGAGGTATGTGGTGAAGTCACTATAGCTTGTCTGTCTTTGGCCACTGGCCACAGTGTTAGGGCACTAAACATTGACAACCGATGAACTGTTTTGTTCTGTACATGTATAACAGGTTGAGCTGTTGGTGAATGAGATCCTGCACCTAGGTGAACGTGTCTACATTCATTTTATTAGCGCTCTGCAAACATGCTATAGAGATGTATATACATCACTCAACAGCAGAATAGTGCATCAAGGTAAGCACGAGTGTTTCTGGAATACGATCTTTGTTTTCCTCTGTTACGAACATAAAATCTGTACTAAATTTTCTTTCCCTCCGTGTATCTTACTGCACTCTTCTTTGAATAATGCAGACACTACTCCTTCGTACTGTGTGTTCTCTGGAGCCAGGTCCAGGTATGCCATGCCAGGTTGCTCAAACTCAGAAGTTTTTCAACTACATACATGCTGCAGTAGGGAATGTGTATGCCATATCTATATGTACATTGTCAAATCCTGGGCATGGTGGGCATCCTGGTCATACCGGGCATCCTGGTCATCCTGAGCGTCTTGCACACCCCGGGCGTCCTGCCCACCCCGGGCGTCCTGCCCACCCTGGGCGTCTTCCCACCCCGGGAGTCCAACCCACCCTGGGCGTCTTGCCCACCCCGGGTTTCCTGCCTACCTGGGTTTCCTGGCCATCGCGGACGTCCTGGGCGTTCTGGACATCCTTGGCATGGATCATTACAGCCTACTGTTTTTGTCACTGGTATATGAGAAACGAGCAGACATGCTAATACAGTTCAAACACTGGACAGAGGCAATGACGGAATGGCGTGACATTGTTGCCACAGCAACCCGAATGGGTTGATGATGATGATGATGATGATGACGACGACGACGACGAGGACGACATGAGAAAAGGGGAAATTAGTGAGAGAGAGAGAGAGAGAGAGAGAGAGAGAGAGAGAGAGAGAGAGAGAGAGAGAGATAGAGAGAGAGAGAGAGAGAGAGAGAGAGAGGGAGAGAAAAGAGGGAGATAAAGAAAGAAAGAAAGAA